CGTTCAGCGATTCTGCTTTAATGACTTTATCGTCGTCAAATCGTGTGTTGTACTCGCTATTGTCTCTAATACCGTATCGTTTTAAGACCAATAACTTGAAAATATCTTCTAACGCAGCAGTGAAAAGTTTCGGGGATATAACTTTATGCTTTCTCACACCTATCATGATACATATTTTGAATAAAACTGCTTTTACGAATTCTATCGCGTTTAATTAACTTATTTTTATTAAACTCCTGACGTTTCGGGTGCTTTACATCACTCATGTTTATGGAGGACTGAGGTGATTGACATCCCAATGTCAGAGTTAAACCGGAGTACCTTCAGCTTTTTTAATTATTAGTTTTGGTCCGATCTACGCAGATGAACTTGCTGTGGCTTCAAGTCTTGCAGTGGTATGCTTGGCTTTACTTTTAATGTTATTAATTACAGGATCCCAAGCAGGTGGTAGTCCCACCTTTCACCCAGCCTTTCTGTCTATTGAAATTAGGATGTTTTTAATTTCAATAGCCTTTTTAATTTATATTTGTAAGAAAAAGCAGCGAAAAAGAGAAAATTCGTTTTTACGTCAATCTTATATTCGTTTCTTAATTTAGTTATCACTTGTAAACTCTTTCACAAATGCTAATAAACACATCAAGAGGCAAATTAATGGGTAACCCTGGCCGCGCGGTAAATCAACGCCAATTTACTGATCGTTATTTGGATGCGAGTCTCTGACTGCCGGTGAATCGGCAGTTAGCTGAATTTGATTTACTCAGGTGAATAAATCAAATTTATAACGAAATAAATACAGAGCATTTTGTCTGCTTTGAAAGTAAATGAAATTTCAAATCTACTTTATTTTGACTTTTACTAAATGACAACTTTGTGTCTCGTCTCTCCATAAATGTCTCTATTGTCTTCCTTGTATGAAATTAGTTTAATAGTTTATAGGGCCGCTACTACAAAACAACGTAAATTAATTTTTGTTATCAGTATAATGTTATAATAAAATTGTTGAAAGATTTATATTTAATTCCGGTGGAATTTCAAATTAGAGAGTGAATATTGTTAGCTTATCTGTTAACGAATAACATAGTAGAATAGGATTTTCATTTTTATTCGACAGGACGATATTCAATTTTGAATAATTCTTGCTCATTTAGGACGTCCATTCATGATAAAAAGCATGTGGCACACTGTACATTCCGTATATGGTTTGTATGTTTTGCTCACTTCATGCGTCCGTTCATGACATAAATGATGGGGCACACTGTACATTCCGTATATGGTTTGTATGTATTGCTCACTTCATGCGTCCGTTCATGACAGAAATGATGTGACACTCTGTCTATTCCGTATATAGTTCGTATGTTTTCTTCACTTTATGCGTCCGTTCATGATGGAAATAAGGTGACACTCTGTATATCCCGTATATGGTTCCTATGTTTTGCTCACTTCATGCGTCCATTAATAACGATAATTATGTGGCTCTCTGTATATTCCATATACGGTTTGTATGATTTGCTCACTTCATATGTCCGTTCGTGACAGAAATGATGTGGCACTCTGTATATTCCGTAAATGGTTTAATTGTTTTGCTCACTTAATGCGTTGACCTTGAGACTGTCCCTATCTCATATGAAATCATAGAAGTTTTCTTAGTGCAACTGTTATACTTGATGAGTTGTTGAGAGTAAGATTCCTTGCGAAGAAATCTTTGTTATCATTTTATAGAAGAGTGGGCAAACGAACATGCAACTTACCTGATGGTAAGTTTCGACTGCTGCCCGTGAACTTCTGCAACGCTACGGGAATCCCAGGTGCGTTACCGGCCTTTTAATAAAAGAGAAGGCTCTTTACTTGAAAGTCTCTAAGTCGTATCGGTTCGGAAAAATCATTGGTGGTAGTCCATTCCACAAGGAAGTTGTGAGTAAGAAAAAAAATACTTCGTCAAGGAGAGAGGCCATCTTGGCCTTCTCTTACCTGCAGTTATTTGATATGTGGACGCAGAGGATTCGGATACTAGCTGAGGCAATAAGGGGTGTGCCCTGATTTTGAGGAGGTACAAAAAAGCGGTTCTTTTTAGTGGTAAATACGTAAACTTCTGTCTTTTGGGGATTGAACTGGACTAAATTTAGTCGCTCCCAATCCGAGACTTCGTTCAACGAATTCTCAACTTTGACGTTGACGTGACGTTTTTCTAAAAAATATTGGGACGGCCGGTGTATAAAGCATCACCAGTGCTGTCGTTCGCATAGTAATAAATGTTACCGGTTTGCAACATATCATTGATGTGCAGAAGTAATGGCGTTGATGATAGCTCACAGCCTTGTGGAACACCAGCGTTAATACGCTTGTACGAGGACGACACTGAGTTTTTAGAACTGGCCACTTGTAAACGATATAATAAAAAAATAAGTTCAAATTTTGAAAATGGAACTATTTTCCTATATTATTATGTATGTATTTTATTAATTTTTCATTTGTTTTTCGATTTGGCGGCAAATTGAAAATTGTCTGTGTCACGTCAGCATGAATTTAAAGCGAGAAAATTTTCGTACAATGATTTTTATGACTTTCGATGTCATTTAAGTTAACAAGAAAGTTATGGTAGCTTCGAGTGGTCTTTCACGATAAAGCCCCATTTCGTGCCACTAGTTTCAACTGGTTTAATGAATTTAAACGTGGTCGCACTAATCTCACCAATGATATGCGTGAGGGATGGCCTTCTACAGCGACGACTGAAGATAACATCAGCGTTGTGCGGCGTATGATAGAGACCGACAAAAGAGTGACTTATCAACAGATTCGGACAAGCTTAGGCATCGGTATGAGTCAAGTGCACAAAATCCTCCATGAACATTTAGCTGTCAGGAAGCTTTCTGCCTGGTGGATACCTCATAATTTGACAGTGGCACAAAAACTCCGTCGTGTTTATTGGTGTCGTTAAATGGTTCAAAGATTTAACGGAGGTGATTCAAATGCTGTGTTCGGCATACTTATGGATGACGAAAGCTGGATTTATTATTATGATCCTGAAACTAAGAGACAGTCAGCTGTCTGAGTCTCTACGTTCGGTAGCAACGACCTCGCATTAGGATCCTCCTTCACCACGACAACAACTCGTCCACACGTGTCCACAACCAGATGTCTCACACATTTGGTATACGTAACATAACGCCTACCATACGCCAAGACAAAGTCATAAACACGTGTATGATCGGTTAAACGGGAACCAATCTAGTGGTAGGCGTTAAAATTACCCAGGATCAAGATCTCTCCAGATGGGATTTGTTGTAGCACGGAGTCTGCAGCATTATTTTATTTAACTCCGTTACCAAGGACTACGGAAGCACCGACTTCAGAAGCTTTTATAAGGATTTTTTTTTACTTTTTATTGTAAGTTTATCAAAAATAAAATGCAGATGCGTTGTCCCTGAGTACTAAGATGGAATGCCTCGTGACCAATAAAACGGGTCTACGATGCTCGTTATATATATATCGATGGATCCGAATTAGTTTTGTATTGCAGTCATAATGTACTACAGCTTTTCTCTATCACGTAAACGTAAAAAATAAAACTTTTTATTTTTTAACTTTGCGATTAATCAGTATGATGAAATAAAAAAATATGAGAACTATTTTGTAACTTAGTCAAATAAAGGAATATATCAGATTAATTTTTAAAATAAATAACGTGCCCAATCAGAAAAGAACACGGACAAAATATACTAAAATACGAACAGTTAGCAAAGAAAAACAGCACTGTCACGCTGGGCCCACAATTCACAGCAATTCAAGCGTTAAAATTGCTAGCCAGTTTACAATGGAAGCTTTTGTATTTTTAGTATTGAAAATCGATGATTGTCCACTTGAACTCACCTACACTGTAAGTTGTAAAATTATAACATAAGAAATAGTTTTTGAATAGCTTTTTCAAGTTAAAAGAAAAATGTGGTACTAATTTCTTCACAACGTAATCATATAACATTCTGTTTAAAATATGATGTAATCAGTTGCTGCTGTTTAAAATATAATATACGTGGTACAGTTATGCTGCAGCTGTATCGGTAGTATATGTGTAGCACGAATGGGTTGGCTCAACCGGGGAAGGACCACGCTCTCACAGAATACCAGCCTTAAATAGCAGCTTAATACTGCTGTATTTCCTATGGTGTATATAGAGAAAAGGAGACCTTTTTTACTGGAAAAGAGGCATTCCATCTTAGTCCTCACGGCTGACAACGCATCTGCATTTTAATTCGCAAACGAGGATACATCTAGATGTCTATGGGCCACAGCAACCACTTACCATCAAATGGACTGTGTGCTTGTTTGTCACCTTATCCTATAAAATAATTAATAAAACGAAAGGACTTTCTTTAAGACTTTCAGTTTTAATAAATCCAACAAATATCACGTAGCTGTAACGGATAACAAATAATGACAGAAATGTTGTGTTACTACAATTAACAGAATTACAGCGATTAATGTAGTTTGAGGTCATCGCCTTCTGTCTAATTCCCGTTTGTACATTATAATGCAAGTTATATTATTTCTATCAATCAGCATTCATTAATTGGTGAAACAGGGTGAAGCAGATGTGTAGTTCGAGTTCAAATGAAAATAATGACAATGTCTTTCGTGAAATAAAAATGATAGTATGATGAAAATTTAGTCATTTATTATTCGTAACAAATTTTTAAAATCTTTTTGACTGCAAACAATTCGTCGTTAACGCCGCAAAGTGGCGAACCTCAATTTTTCAAAAAATTATAGTAGAGCAAGAAAACATTTATTATTCCCCGATTACTAGCTTTATTCATCAGAAAATTAATTAAATTAGACTTAATGGATAACTACAAATAAGATTGATTTTTTGATGAAAAAAAACTAGTAATCGGGGCATAATAAATGTTTTCTTGCTCTCCTATAATTTTTTGAAAAATTGAGGTTTGCCCCTTTGCGGTGTCAAGGACGATTTGTTGTTAGCGATTGTAATCACTGTGTAGTAGCGGTGTTAGTATATTCAGTAGTTCAGTACCCTATTTCTTCCTGTGAGTGTCATTAGAGGCGACAGAGGGAAACTGACTTTTTGTACGTGGTAGAACCATGCTGCAGGTATTTTACTGGTATGGTTGTAGCACGAATGGATCGGCTCGACCGGGGAGGACCCACGCTCTCACAGAATACCGTAAAAGCGTAAAATAGCCGCTTAACGCTGCTGTGTTTCGTATGGTGAGTGTAGAGAACCGGAGACCCCTTTTTACTGGAAAGGAGGCATTACATCTTAGTCCTCACGGATGAAAACACATCTGCATTTTTATTCGTAATCGAAGATAGATGTAAGATGTCTATGGGCCACAGCAACCACTTACCATCAGGTGGACTGTGTGCTCGTTTGTCACTATAAAAAAACTGAACCGGAATATAGGCCACAGCATCTTCCTGATAAAAGCTGAATAAATATAAAATACTGCGGTTACCAAGTCGCTTGGAAATATGGAAACTATGACGGGTCCTTGGCGTAATGGCTTAGCAATGATTTGCAGCGTTGGGGCCCGCGGATTGGAATCCCGCACGCAACAAGTATGTGTCTGGCCTATACTTAATTTGTCCCGGTCTGGATGTTTGTCCTTGTGCAATTTATGCTTGTAACCTGCCTCCATGATACGGAAAAAAATCCTAGCGTGGAGGTAACGTTTAAAAAAAAAAGAAAACTATGGCAAATATTTCCCCTATTAGGCCTATATTCAACAGTTTCTATGGAGAAAATACTACTTACATATTGGAAAAAATTATACTTTAGAATTATTGTTGGATAAATTAATTATCCCGGCCTGGACGAGATGACCTATGGATTGTGTGATGCGATGAGAATATAATATTATTTCACGATTCACGTTGGTTGGATGACGACAGTCTTCCCAATTAACTTCCACTGATTTTGGCGAAATATTGCGTTATTAAAAATGTCTATACACTTGCTGTTTTCTTGTATAGTTTATTATCTATATTACACCACAGCGCGAGGTGATAAAGCCATCAGTTGTGTGATTTGCGAGCTTGTGAATCCCGTTTAACACACGAGTGCAAATGTGTGCTTGTGCATGGATGTGCTGTGGATCATAAATTTATCCCGGATTAGGAATCAAAATGCTGTTCATGTTGGGATATTGTACGAGCGTAGTCCATTTACTACACCGTGGCTCTACCACGTAAATAACAATCGAGAAACGAATTTCCGTACTGTAAATGGCATAAATGTCAGATAAAATCAATATTTGAATATACCACAGTTAACAATTAAGTACTTTAATAATAATAATAATAACTGGTATTTATTTTCTCCCACATATTACAATCAGTACATCACAAAAGACTTAGTAACAATGAACTATGCAACTAAATAACAGCTATAAAAATTAACTAAATAAGATCTAGGTGGGGAGACTGGTGCCCAAAATAGGTTGCCCTGTGCTATGGGATCACCAGGCCCCTCCCTCAACAGAAGTTATAATGCTGTAAAACATTTATAATCAATACAGCTACGTGTAATAATATTACATTAAAATATACTTGTTCAGTTTGGAGAAACTGTTTAAAAAGTACTTGCTAGGTATATATACAAAGAAGAAAAACATGCATTAAATACTAGTAAGGGTAAGCAGGTGTAATAAGTGTTAATAATGTGGTGTGCGTGTGTGCACGCACGTGTGTCTGTGTATGTGTGTGTGTGTGTGTGTGTGTGTGTGTGTGTATGCATGTGGTGTGTAATATATATTTAAATAATACGTTCAAATAGTTTTTCTGTCTGTTCGTAGTCTAATGATTTAAGCCAATTGATTAATCTGTTCTGTAATTGAAAAATCTTCGAGCAAATAATGAATTGGTAACAGGTATTGTGCATACCATATGAGGAAGTCTTTTGTTTAATACAGGATTGGATTTATTATATTCCGTTTTTGAATGATTTAATAATATTGTCCCAAGAATATAGAGCTGACGTACCGTGAGCGATTCACAGAACTTGTAAAGTTCATTTGTTGAAAATAATCTGTGTTTTTTATAAGATATTTTAAGTATAAGTCTTTGTGCACGCTCTAACCTAATCATGTGGCTTTTTGCTGCACCACCCCAAGACGTTATGCTATAGTTAATAATAGACTGGCATAAAGCAGTATAAACAAATTTTATAATACTGGTATCTGCAAGATGACGAAGTTGCTTAAAAATGTATGTAAGTTTACGAACTCTAGAAGAAATGTGGTTTATATGTTCTTCGAAAGAAAGTTTGTAGTCTATTATAACACCTAAGTATTTTGTGTTCGTGGTCTTTTCAAGAGAGCGACACGTACAGGAACAAAGCGGTGGTATGCAGCAATCATGGACGTATAAGTTTAAGTTCTCTTGGCCTTTTAGTGCTGGTGTGGTAATACAAAAAGGAATGTATTTAGTTTTGGTTGCATTTAAAGATAGGTAATGTGTAGCAAGCCATTGTTGGACTGTATTGAGACCAGTTTGTGCAACAGAATAAACTTCTTCCCAAGATTACTTACTTAATTGGTATACGTACATAATAAATACTTTGCATATGAGAAATAAACAATAAGTATTAAATACTAAATAAATTTAAGTATTAATTTATAATATTGTTTAAATTTGACATTCCCGATTATTTCTAATATCTTTTCATAATCTTTTTCAATTCCGAATATCAGCAAATATTAAAATAGAACACAAATTTTTCGCACTGGCATAACGTTTCTTTGCTTCATACTCAAAGATCCCCTTACTTTTACTTCGAATTTATTTGATTTAGCCCTCAAAGGTCAATCAGAAATTGTGCGGAGCTTCCAAGAGAAATTTTGGTACATTTCAAGATCAAATAATGACTATACCTAATTTCTTTATGTGGAACGAGGGAACACAAATCATTATGGGAATAAATATAAATGTTATAAACATACTAAGGCGTTAGTTTGTTTTAAATCATACAATTTAATTTGTGTTTATGTTTGTGTGGTGGATGAAAATCCATCAGCCTCTTTCGTCCCATGGGTGTCTTAAGGGACGACTTTGCAAACTGCCAAAAAGATTAATAAAAATATCTCAAAAACTATTGTCAGATCTTGATCAAATTTATATGGGACTACATGGGAATCCCAGCTATCAAATAAAAAAAGAATTATCGAAATCGGTTCACCCAGTAAAAAGTTAGAAGGTAACACACTTAAAAAAAACATACAATCGAATTGAATACCGGATCCTTTTTGAAGTCGGTAGAAAACTAACTAATAAGAGATATGAAAATTGTCTGTACTTTGAATATTATAGTAAGAATGTCCACTACCCCATATCGTCCCGTGGGTGTCGTAAGAGGCGACAGACGGAAACTGAAACAGGAAATGGGCAGCATGATCTCTCTGATAACAATTCATAATTATGAAAACTACGGTTGCGAACTCGACTGCCATGCGTAGTAATTAGGCAAAATCCCATTTATGAGACAATCTATGACAGAGGGCTATGTTCAGCAGTAGATTTTTTTTAGTCTGTAATAGAAAATAGATGGATATTATATCACGTCGGTCACATGTTTGTAAAATTTTTCTTATAACTATTTAGTTTGTAAGTTTACACAAGGAATCAATCTTAGCTGAAGTTGTAATATTATCTTTATGTGTCATAACTTATGTACTAATATTAGTACTATTATGTGCTTTCTACATCGAAAGCAATTTACTTTGTAGAAGAGAAAACTTTGTGTTGTTAGAAAAGGGTCTGCCTTCAAAGATGAAGTGTAGTGTGAAGTGTTTAAGAAATGACCCTTCTTTTGTCTATCCGTTATCCAAATATAACTAACATTTTTACAAGTGGTAAAGCCATGCTGCAGCTATATTAACTGTATAGTTGTAGCACGAATGGGTCGGCTCGACCGGGGAAGGACCACGCTCTCACAGAATACCAGCGTAAAATAGCAGCTTAACACTGCTGTGTTTCGTATGGTGAGTGTAGAGAACAGGAGACCCTTTTTTACTGGAGAAGAGGCATTCATCTTATTCCTCACGGGTGACAACGCATCTGCATTTTGATTCTTTATTAAGGATAGATGTAGATGTCTATGGATCACAGCCTTACCATCAGGTGGACTGTGTGCTCGTTTGTCGCCCTATCCTATAAAAAAACCTGACAGGCCGTGTATTATTAAGTATTTTATTATTATCGGATTGGTTGTCAGGCAAAATTTGGAAATAATAAAAAGGAAGTATTTTCTTATGATATTACTATGGATATAGTACGTTAACGTATTGGAAAAATACTAGAACTTCGGTTATGATGCTGCTTATTTAGTGTCCGGCTAAGTTATCTTACGACCTTACCACCGTCCAAATATTAATGTATTTCGTTTAAACTGAGCAGCGAAAACCAACCAGGCACCTGAGTGTATTGTGAGTATGTGGCATAGAGAACGAGAGTGCCGAGCATGAAGCCCAATCGCCACTACATCCTCGTCGAGTGACATCTTTCACTATTTAAATCGATATGAAACTTTTCAATGCATATGGTCTAATCTAGATGTACTAGTGTGAGGCTTGATACATATGAACCGACGAGGGTTATGCACAATATTACCAGGTGGTATAGTGAAAAATATTGAAAATAAAAATTTCAATGGCGGTCTTTAGTAGACAGATGATAAGTATTGCTTTTTACACTTGTAGGTCAAAATGGCGTAAGGCGTCGTAGGTTTAGTGAAGAAAACAGTTTATATTAACGTTCACAGTCTTTTAATAGTCCACGACACAAAGCACACTACAATAAAGAGTCAGAAGGGAAGCGAGCACAATCATAGTTACCAAGAATAGCACAAGCAAGAAAGTAAGAGATAGCATTAACAAATAAACTGTACGTGGTTAGCCGCGGGCGCAAAGGTGTTACAAGGGTCTAGTCGCAGAGGCGATCAGCAGGTAACTACTAACTAACTTGATACAAGTACAACAGGATATGCGCGAGCGCCGCGATTCAATCCCCGGCCGCTCTGTCTAGAAAAAGGTCGATCCACAATGG